GCGGGGCAGCCGTGTGCCCCTCCCCACCTGGGATGGGTCTGGGGTCAGCCCCTGCCGCCTTCATGTGGCCATCCCCCTCCCCCGACTTTGCGTCGGGGCCCCGAGGTTTCTTGCTAACCCAACGTGGTCTCTAACGCCTCTCCGTCCGCCAGCTGCACTGCTCTGTCTCCACTGTGTGGAGATGCCATCCAGTAGTTTCTGTCTAACCCGTGTGTGGTAGCTGAGCATCCTTCCCTTACCTGTGAACTGTGAATCCGGAAACACCGTCCCCATGATGTTCTATGTTTTCCTTCCAAGAACTGGGTTTCTCTTGAGGAGAATACAGATTCTCAGTACCCCAATTGATCCATATGGTGTAGACCTGTTCAACCCGAAAAATTCATTGCGGTTCTGTGAACCTGACCAGAGAATGACAGTTTCAGTGTTCTCTGTTTCTGAACTCCGTATCAGCGTGTTCCCCGTGAGAGAGAACTCCTGAATTGACATGCAAAGCCTACGTTAAAATTCCACCCTTGTCAGCCGGGAGTGATCCTGGCGTTCCTTGGAGGCTAACTCGAAATGAACACGGGTTCTTAAAGATGAATACTTATCTCTGAGTTCAGTAGTTCTTTTAAAACCCAGTGGTTGGCCTGAGACAGATCCGAAGCCCACTCCTAAATCCTCAGGGTGGCCTCCAGGGCCACGGCCTAGGGTGTATTTTTCCACAAGCGAAGCCCACGTCTGTTTGCCCTCCTCACGCTCCGTCTTCCTTGTGTAACAGGATTTTTTGTGTGTGTGGCAGGTGGCAGATTCAAGAAAGAGATTGTTGTTGATGGACAAAGCTATCTGCTGCTGATTAGAGATGAAGGGGGCCCCCCAGAGGCACAGGTAAGTACTGCAAGCACACCGGTGGCCAGCCTCCACCTGCCCTTTCTCCTGAGGATTCTGGCTCCACAGTCAGGTGCGCACGAGAGCAGGTGAGGGGGAGGGTGTAGCTCAGTGGTAGAGCGTGTGCTTAGCGTGCACGAGGTCCTGGGTTCGATCCCTGGTACCTCCATGAAAGAAAGAAGGAAGGAAAGGAAATTAATCCCTCCCCACCTCACCAAAAAAAACAAAAAAGAACAACAACAACAACAAAAAAACAAAAACGAAAGGAAAGGTGAGGGGGAGAGGCTCCACGATAATGTTTTCTACGGCTGAGTGTTTTCTCATCTCCAAGAGACTGATTCTGTTGTTCCTTCAGACAGAATCCTAGAGGGAAGTTGGGACTGTGTGGCTGATTCTCACTTTGTGGTTTTAAGAAGGAAGGAAGAGCAGAATCTGCACTGATTTGTCGACTCAGTTGAATTGACATCTGGAAGTTTCTGTAGTCTTTTTGTGTGTGTGTGTGTGTGTTCCTTTTTCCTGTAAGTGTTTGCTCTCGAGAGTAGAACGATCATGTAGAAAGTTGGATGGAATTTTTGGAATCTTCCTGGCCCAAGTCATTTTGCACTGAAAACCAGGATACGGCATGGTGTGATTTCTTTGAAAGTTCCTTGGAAAATGGGTGTAGTGGAGGCAAAAGAAAAAAAAAACAGTGTGAATGTAGAAAACCACTTTTTTTGGTTTACTTAATCTCCGGTTTATTACTTTACTTACATGATAATTCACCAGCTAAACACTTTAAAGGAACCAAGGGCTAGTGATAGTCAGGACCATCCCTGCAAATTTAATATTAAAAATGTCCCTGGCACTTCTTTCTTGAACTTGCCTTTTTGTGGAAGTGTGACGCGGGATTAGCCAGTATCTTAAGTGACAGATGCTGCATGCGGGGGTTGCTGAGGGTCTAGAATTCCACCCACTGGAAGACTCTGCAGCTTTACAGAACGATGTTGCAGATTGACCGTGTTCCATTGAGTCTAAAATGCCCCTGATTATGAGCTATACCAATATTGAGAAGAAAAATGCTGTGAAACCATGAAAAAAAGCAGTCTGTCAGGTACATTCTGATGGCAAAGATGTTAAAGCGTGGAGAAGATTTTTTTAGCATTACTGAGACAGCATAATTGATGATACTAAGGGAACACTGAAGGCACGTTAAACGTGAAAAAAAAGTAGGTTACAAAGCTGTGTGAGCTCATGTCTGGTGCATGTCTGTTCCTTTACAACTGAGCAGGACGGGGTGTGATGCCTGATGCTGTGCTGGAAGGCTCGTGATGGTGCCTAATGCTGAATAAATCTTCCTCAGTCCTCCGTGGTAGGGGGGGTGTCGGTCTTGCTCTCACACGGCTCTTTACTGCAGGGTCCCTTAGAGACAGCTGGTCACTAGGAGAATGAAGTGGGTGAAATGTGGGCGTCAGCAGGGGTGATTTTCTGGTTTTCCAGCGCATAAAGGTTTGGAGTGCCAGGGGCCATTTCAGACCTCAGGAGCCCGCTGTGGCTCTGACATAAAGAACCTCAGAAGACAGATGAGAGACCTCCAGATGCACACGTCGGGGCCGGTTTAGTGGCCTCAGGAGCGCCGTTGTCTGGGGATGCTGTCCGGGTATGGACACTGATGGGCAGGGATGTGCAGAGATATGGGGCGTCCCGAGTCCAGCCGTGAGCGGTGAGAAGGCTGCCCCGGGCCAGAGTTGAACTGTGATGAGACTGGTCTCTGAAGGAGCCCCTGGTCCACCGGAGGGGGGAGCTCCAGCCCGAGGAGTTAGGGGCCCACAGCACTGCCCTGCCCTGAAGGTTTCATCAGCTGTAGTTGCTATTAGGGTGACCTTTTCAATGAAAGTATTTTTGGGGGGTGCCCTTAGGACAAAGCCCAGGCCCAGTGTTTCCCCAGAAGGTAACAGACGAAATCCCAGACTTTCTTCTCCAGCGCGTTTCCCTCTGAGAAACATCTTTGCTCCAACGTCCCTGAAATGTATCTTTTACTAAGTAGCTTCAGATGCTTAGGATGTGTGATGTCACTTGATACAGTAATATTTTCCTTCCTTTTCATCCCTGTGATTAATTAAAGACTTGCTTTTAAGGAAAAAAAAGATTAAGGCCTGCGACCAGCAGTGGGACTCATCCTATGAGCTTCTTATGCCTGAAAAACATACATACTGTGAATCAGTGACACTGGGTGGACACCCACCCCCAGGACCCCCGTGTGGGTCCGCCCATTTAATCCTGGAGGTGACCCCAGGGGACGATGGCCTTCAAGGACACTGACTCCCTGAGATCTCATGACGACTGGGCACAGGCTGAGGTGGTCAATCCACCACCCCCGGGGGAGAGTTAGGGCCCCCAGGAGGTCTCTGTCTTGGCCTGACCATGAGCTTCCCTGAGGACCGGTCTGCTGTTCTAGCACGTACAGAAGCGTCCTGTAGCCTGGAAGGTTACCCTGCTTCAAGGAAAGATGTCTACGCTGGGGGGATTTCAAGATGGAGCCTTTCAAAACCAGGCGGAGCATACTGGAACGTTCCAGGGACGGGGGGAGCTATTTTCAAGTCACCATTCTGGGCACCTGTAGGCACAACCTTCCTTTCCATTATTACAGATCATTTCACGTCCCCAGAGATAACTGACCGGCTTTGAGAAGGACGTCGCAGGACTCTGTGGCTCCTTGTGTCGTATTAGGGTAGTGGAAAACGCTGCCAGTTAACTGGTTTTCGGTTTGCCACTGGGGTGGGTGGGGGTACTTAGGGGGTGCCCACGGCCACTAGGCACTGTGAGCAGTCAGGACACACCCTTCAGAGGGTGGGACCTGGTTAGTGTTTCCTCCATGTGGAGGGTCAGACAGTGTCCGCCTCTGTCTTGGGAGATGAGGTCTGGTCCCTGGACCACAAGCGTTTGTAAGGTGCTCCTAGACTTGAGGAAGCCGACTTTCCCCTGCTTCTTAGAGAAGAAAGGAAAACATAGCGCAGGACAGAGGAGCAGGAAGGAGATGCTTGGGAGGCACCCGTCAGCCCCAGGATCACTGGTCCCTCAGTTTTCTCTCTCATTGCATTTCATGTTTATCGTTTGAACTTCAGGTTTATTTAAATTTGGTCACTAAAATTTTCACATCACTGAATACACTTTTCATTTATCTGTGAAAGTCAGAGCTTAACCTGCAAAAAAAATTACATTTTTTTAAATTAAAAAAGAATTCAAAATATATTGTTTTCTAATATAAAATTGGTATCCGAGCTCATGCTCTGACCGGCAGAACACATGTGGGAGCCACAGCTTCTCTTAGAGAAGGCACATGGGATTGGGGTTTTTTTATTTTCATTTTCATTCACGTCCTTTACCAAAGAGAAGGGCCCCTGGTGCCAGACTGTTTCACGGCACCACTTGTGCGGCTCTGGGAAGGCTCTGCTGTTGACCAAGGAGTTGGCCCGGGAGGCGGAGGATTTCTGAGCGGTGGGTGCCCAGAGGAGGAGCCCCATCTCCAGCGTCCAGCAGGGCTTCCTGGGGGGCCTCGGGGAGTTTCGTGTGAAGCAGGAAAGCCGCAGGGTCACCCTCCGAGCCTGTCTCCTGGTCGGCTCTGGTGTGAGCGGAGTTTGCCTTCTGTTGACGGAGGGGGCGCAGCGGGTGGACATTCCCCTGGGAGGAACGTCTGGCTTTACTCTGGAGACAGCGTGGCCTGGGTAGGAAGGGGATGGAGGGGCCCGTTCCAGGCGTGCTCTTCTCGGGCTGAGAAGGGTGTTAGTGGCGCCCTAGCAACGCATTACAGCGGATGCGGGCAGCGGGCGTGGCCGGGCGGGGGCGGGGGCGGCCGGCCTCCCTCCGGTGCTCGCGGGGCTGACCCGGTGGTTCTCACTCGAGTCCTTCTGCTCACCCGCCCTTCTCTTCTCCGCAGTTTGCCATGTGGGTGGACGCCGTTATATTCGTCTTCAGCCTGGAGGATGAAATAAGTTTCCAGACCGTGTACCACTACTACAGCCGGATGGCCAACTACCGGAACACGAGCGAGGTGCCCCTGGTGCTGGTGGGGACCCAGGGTGAGTGGCCTCCGCGGCAGGCCGTGCTGACGGGGCTTTAGCAGTTGAACAGGAAGGGAATTCTCGGTGTGGTCGGAGTGGAGGAGTTTGGAAACGGTTCAGAGAAGAAATCCTTTCCTGCTGAAGGCTCACTTTTTTACAGGGAGAATCCATTAAACTGAAATTATCACATTTCCTGATGTGAAATCACTTTGGGACTTCAAAACAAACCACCCCCACCCCGCCCCCGCCAAGTGCTTCAGGAAAAAATGGAATCTTTTCTGTATTAGGCTATCTTAATTCTCCCTGTTATAAAACAATGCATAAGCAGCCTAAAAAGTTATTTACTTGAACTTTTGCACCTTTGAAATAATGCTGATTTCCGATACACTGCACAGTTTTGTTTTATTCGGCTGTTTCTTAATGTCTTAGGATTTGTATCTCGGCTTTGATCTAGCCGATCCCTCAGAGGGCACAGAATCTTACCGCAGGGGTAGTACATCTTGTGTCTTTTTTTCTAGGTCACAAATTTGGTCTCTTAGTAAAGTGACATCACTCACAGTGCCCTCGGTCTTGACCATAGACTCACTGATACACTGGTATCTGCTGTTGAGGACTTAAATCAAAGGGTCACGCAGAATGTTTTTAAAACTCAGATGAAGGTTAACTGTAAAACCGCTTTGTCGGAAGTGTGGGTAACTTGAAAAATAATCATGACGAGAAACCCTGGATTATCCCTTCACGTTTTGGTTCAGGTTCTGTTTTTGCTGATACCTTTAGAGTCAGTGCGTCGGGTCTGCCCTCGCATGCCCCGGTGTGAGGCTTTTTCAGAGAAGACGTTAGCTGTGTTGAACAGGTGGGAACAGGTAGCTGTACGCATGGCACCAGGTCTGATGTACTAACCGAGAGCTCAGGCTGGGTAATTCGCTGTCATGGCAGGTGTCTGCACGGGTAAGCTGGACGCGTGGAGTGGCTGTGTGTGTTGGGAGAAAAAAGTGTGGAATAAACTAAAGACATCTTCTCAGTGTGCTCGATGTAAAATAGATTTTCATGGATGTTGCTTCATCCCACCTCCCCCGACCCCCGCCTTTTTTTTTTTGAAAGCATGTGTGTCATGGCCGGTGGTCTCAGAAGAGGAGCCAAGAGCAAGAGTTAGATTTAGACTTAACAGCGGGTATGATTTTTAATGCCCATGGCGCCCTCTAGTGGCCACCAGGAAACAAGGGTGCACCGGCCAAAAGTCCTTGGTCCTGCTTCAATGTGCAGAATTGGCGTATTTGAGTGGGCCTCCCCCAGAATTCTTAATAAATAATCATTTATAGTGGGCAGCTCGTCTAAAGAAGATCTTGCTTAAAACTGCCTTAAACAGAGGCAGTTATTTCCGGTAAGTGCCTCTCCCCGCCGGCCTGCCGGGGCCGTTTCTGAGCAAAAGCAGAGCTCCTTCCCAGCTGCCTGGCTTCAGGGGGTTTGTGCTCAGGGCTCAGAGTGGCTTTTTGCTGCAGACTCACGGTGATAAAGACCAGGTAAGTTTTCAGTCCAGGCCGGGAAGCTGCTTTGATCAGTTTGTTATCTTTCTTACACGCCGGTGTCTTTGGTGGTAGGGAGTGGCTGTCGGAGGCTCCGGCAGACCCAGCATTACTATTTCTCACGCTCACTGGTGAGACCCATTCATACTTAAGCAAACCACACCGTAAAGGAACAGGACACGAATGTTCTCCGTTAGGGACAGTCCTCACCCGAGAGGTCCTCACGGTCATTAGCCAGACCTCTAATCCCCAGAGCACCCTAGAACTAGCCCCCATGGCAAGAAGGTGGATAGGTGTGGGCTTCTGGAAGGTTCTGTTAACTGCTTTCTGTGAAGCCTGTCTGTTCTGCTTCTGCCCGGGCTGTGTGGGACACCGGAACAGCAGCAGAAGGACCTCAGATTTCCCTCCCGGATGGCTGGGGTCGGTGACCTCGAGGTCGGAGGCTATGGGATGGAGAAGATGAAGAAGAATCACGTTCATTCCTCAAGGATGGGGGTGGGGCCCCTCCCACAGGCAGGAGGGCCAGTTCTCCCCGGGTCCAGGCCAGGAGCCATGGGAGTGTTCGTAAGGGGACCAGGTGATGCTGTGGTGTTCGTCAGACAGGTTCTGTCGTAAAGGCTTGCAGATCAGATTGATCTGAGGGAGAAGCACGAGCCTTAAAAAGATGCGAGATCGAAAGTAGGATGAAAAATGAGACTAGAACAGCGCTGACGTGTAGGGGCCATTTGTGAGAAGTGAGGGTGTGTCTAGGAAGCTGAGTTGGGATAGACACGGAGCAGGCGTCCCACCAAGGATGTGGGGGAGGTGTTGGGGGTCAGGTCAGGATAAATTTTGAGCTGGATTCATGCTCTGTGGCCTTTTTTTCCAGTTTACACCAAAGCATTGGAAAATTACAGGTTTCTAACTTTTCTACTATTTTCTTAAAAGATGTTTACACTTAAAAAAAAAACTTCTTCGGGGGGAGGGTATGACTCAGTGGTAGAGCGTGTGCTCAGCATGCACGAGGTCCTGGGTTCAGTCCCCCAGTACTTCCATTTAAAAATTTTTTAAATAAATAATTTTTTTTAAAAAACAGAAAAAATTCTTCTTTTCCTTAAGTGTTGTGAAATCCAAGTCAGATTTACCAAGACAAGAAGACAGGACAAGGTGGTGTTTGAAGAAGTCCCTCTAACAGGGCCTTCCGGGGGATGTGCTGGGGTTTCTGTTGAGGTGGCCCAGGTCACTGTCAGGGAAAGGATCCTGAATCAGAGTTGGCTTCCCTGTGAATAAGTGACAGCTATCAGTCAAACCTATTCCAGGGGGCTGAAAATAGGGAAAAGAGAAGGGGGGGGAATCAATAAATTATTCCCCCAAGACGTCACTTTTGCTTAATACTTCAAAAAGCTGAGTGCCTGACACGCTTCCTGTGCAACAGCAGACACGTAGAAGGTTGCCACTATCTTGCCAGCCGTACGCTGCTGTTCCCGTGGGTGGGTTTTTGTTTAAAGAGCCGACGAGTGTTTCCTGTCTCTTCGGAGCCTTCGCACCCTGGGAAACAATTCTGAGTCAGGAACAGCCCCTGAAAAGTGTGTGTCATCCCTCAGTAGCACAGGGGCTGCAAACCTCTCGGCCGCTCCTCTGGTCCCGTGCGCTGGCACGCGGCTGCCTCCCAGCGAGCGGGGAGGGGCGGGGGTCAGGAGCCCCTGGGGGCTGAGCTGGAAGAAACAGTCTGCATTTCTTTCCCTGAGGTGACTGGTGACTGGTGCCAACGTCTGCTTTGCCGCTCGGATGCCCCCTCTGTACCCAGCTCCTGTGAGAGTTGGGAAGTGTCCCCTGCTCCCCGCTCAAGCATCTGTGCCCCGAGTGGTTCTGTTAGGACCGAACGTGGCCCGCACAGGAGTCTGCGGCCCTCCCGTACCCACGTCACCTCCCACTCCTGCCCTTCCCCCTCAGGCTCCCTTAAACATCAGGCGCTCCGCCCGACCCGGGAGTGGCTGGCCCTGCACCTCCTGCAGGTGGGGCGTCCCTGACAGAGTGCACGCCTGCTGACCCCTCCCTGCCTCCATCCTTCCTCGTTTCTGTCTTGTTTATTTTCTGCCTCCCTCCCCAGCTGGCCTAATAGCCCCTCATGAGAGTGCAGATCTTTGTCCGTTTTGTTCCCAGGCACCCCTACCCCTAGAACAGGACCAGGCAGTCGATGGGCTCCGGTGGGTGGAAGGCGCACCAGGAGGGGCGGTGCCGGGGGACAGGGTGCGATTCCCGGCGCCTTGTGCAGAGAAGGTCACTGCACGTAGTGAGCGGGCCTCTTCCCTTTTAAAGTACTCCCCTCTGGAGCCCCGTTTACCTCTTACGCTGTTTTCTTCGGGTTTTTCCGGACAGTCCTTTATTTCACTCTCAGAAGCAGGGGCCTCTGAAACAGCTGACTCTTCTGGTGTCTGGGATGATTATTTTGGGAAGTGAATAATGGTTTTTAAAACTCCAGGTTCTTAAAAGAGTGACATCCCTGCCGAGCGAGGTGCGGGGTTCGAGCTCCCTGGGGCGCTGACCTGGTGGGAAGGCCTTGGAGCTCGCGTGGTCACCGTGTTGCCGCTTCTTGTCCGTCTCTCACAGATGCCATAAGTTCCACGAACCCACGGGTCATCGACGACGCCAGGGCGCGGAAGCTCTCCAGCGATCTGAAGAGGTGCACGTACTACGAGACATGTGCCACGTACGGGCTGAACGTGGAGAGGGTCTTTCAGGACGGTAAATACTCCCGCTGTGAATGCAGCATCTTTTAACCACACAGCAGCTCATGGGTCCACATGGATGATGGGAACCTGCCCACTGCCCGCGGGAGGGGCGCCCGGCTCTGTGCTGTGTTCAGAAGGCCCACTGAACACCCACCCCACAGCAGCCCCGTGTGTCCCATCCTGTGACCTTTCTGGCCTGCAGGATTCCGCAGACTGTTAATTTATGCACACAGTGTGTCAGGTGCACACGCAGCGTCTCCACTCAATGTAGACGCACTCTTAACGCAGCTGCGTTAAAAAAAAAAGAAGGGCTTAAGTAGTTGTTAAGCTTTGAGGAGAGTAAACAGAAAGGAGAGAGAGTCAGGTTTGGCCAAATTTAATACGTGTGGGGACTGGGGGCTGGGAGCGAGCCCCAGGGCTTGGGGACTGTTTCTCGGTTGTTGCCTCAGTGTTGACTCCTCACCTCCAGGACACCACACCTCAGGCGGGAAATTCTCCTGGAGGAGCAGACGGTTCCCCAAGGGGATAAATGTTCACATACAAAATGTGATTCCAGGGAGAGGAGGAGGGGGCGGGTGGAGAGAGGAGGGGTGGTGAGAGGGACGGAGGGGGGCCGTAGGGATGGGCTCTGGTCTGGTGGGGTCGGGAGGGTCTAGGGTAGGTTGTCATCAAAGACCAGGGAGACGGATGCTTTCAGCAAAGCGTCCCGTTTCTGATGGGAGTCGTGGGAAGGGAATCTGAGGCCCCCTCCTCTTCTGGTTTAATCTCCTGTAGACCTAGCTTTGCACCCCTGGCTCTGCTGCCGGGGGATGTTGGGGCCAAGCAGGGCAGCCGGCTTGGGCTCACCAGAGGCTGGCCCAGCTTTGCACCAGCCCTGGGGAGACTGGTTACTGTGAGTAAGACCAGTGAGGGTGGGACCGCTCCTGGCACTTCCCCAGACCAGGAAATGCATGCTTTTCTTTCAAACATTCAAGTCAGTTTTCAGATGAAATGACAAGCATTCACACTCACCATTTTACTAAATTGCGAAGGTGGTGTCCATCTTTGCGTTTTCTTCCATTTCCCTTAACTAAGCTCCTCTTCTAAGCCGGCCGTCTCTTTCCCTCTGCCCTCCCCACAGACCGTTCTCAGCACACCTGCCCCACGTCGTCTCTCAGACCTCACGCTCCTTCCCGCCCCTCCCCCGGCCAGTTCCAAGCATCTCGGGATCCCCTGCAAACAGCCCGATGTCCCTGGGGTTCTGCGCCCCAGCCCTCCTTCCCCTCATGGCGATGGGACCTCCTCGGGGCGGCACCCACTTAGGCTGGGGGCAGAGCGCACTGAGAACCAGCGCAGGTCCTTGAATGTTAGTGAGCCCGGGGGCCCTCCCGGGAGGTGCGCTGTAACGGGGCAAGGTGGCCGTTTGCCACTGAACAGCTGAAACCCCTGTGAGGGGTCAAGTGAAGTGTTACAGATGAAAGTTCCCTGGCCTGGGGCCCACGGGCCACGTCCAGCCAGTAGCCCTTTCTGTCCGCCGGCTACGGGAGGGCTGGGCGGGGCGGCTCTTGGCTCTCGCTGCAGAGTTGAGTGGTTCCAACGAGACCTGGTGGCCCCCCACGCCCGAGACGGTCGCTCTGGGGCCTCGCACAGACAGCCTCGCACAGACAGCCTGCCGACCCTGCCATGGGGGATGGGAATGAGCCGCAGGCGTGAGCTTCTCCACGGTGATTGCTTTCCTGGCAATTGATCGAGGTTTGCCAACATGAACGTCCCACAAATAAGTGAACTCAGCTTATACATCATATAGCAACTCACACTTGGGGAGGACAAGCTGTGGTGCTTCCCTGCCCGGCGTCCAGAGTGTCCAGGCGGTGGCTTGGTGCCCGTGTGCGGGGGGCACCGTGCTGTCGTCCTCAGGCTGGATGCTGGTAAGGGCGGCCGGAGGAAGGACCTTCCCAAAGGGCATGGGTTAAAACAGCGAAGTGTTTCCCTGCTGTGACAGCTCAGTGATTCCACCGTCAGGCACCTTAAACTCACACTGCGAGTTCTCACAGGCTTAGGAGATTTCCGGTGCGCTTTGTTACTATGTTAGAAATAATCCATCCTGTTAAGTGTTTGGACTGTGCAGAGTCTGGAGAGGGAGTGACGTCCACGACGCTACAGCTTCTCTTGTGATTTTTGTTCTTCAAGTATTTTTATTTACACGCAGATAAGGTTTTAAAATAAAATTGGGACGGGTCTGCATGTTTTATATGGTAATTAGATGGTATATATACTTTTGTTTGTTGATCATAAGCTGTTCAGTTGTTAGTGGTGAGAGTAGTTGTCGGCCGAGGTGGGAGTTGCCGAGTACTCAGAAATCCTCAGCAATGACCATCCACTTTGATCCGCAAGGGAAGAGGAGAGACCTGGAAGGTTTACAGCGAAACAGGTCAAGGCTCGGAAAAGTCACGGAACTGGATCAAAGTCACTCCTGGATTGAACCCCAGTCCTAGGAGCCTAGAGCCTTGACCACTTTGTCACTAAAACAAAGCATCTGGGTCCTGTCCACCTGCCCATCAGGGGGACGTGGGGGCGCATCTTCAGAGCGCAGGCTCTCTGCCCACTCACGGACTCGGCGTACCTGGATTTCTTTTTTGACTTTCCGGCTTCTTTTGTGCCCTGGGGCTTGCTTTTATTTGTGTGCTTTTTATATCTTTGTGTTGTAGAAGGGAAAAATAAAGAAAAAGCAGGTCACTGCTATGTAACCTTTAGCTTGCCTATAAAAGCGTCCACCAGGCCCACCGTGTCCCCCCAGCTCCGCCCTCACCTGCCCCTGCGGGGAAAACTCCTGCCCGGCTTGACTTTGTAAGAGACCAGGGGCTTCAGTCCTTGCTTCTTGGACTTGTGCTTTCCTAGTGTCCTGAACCAGAAGACAGTGTGCAGTTAGCGGAGAGATGGGATGTCTGTTCACTTTCTCTTATTGGTGTAGTTGTTGAATGGCTCCTGGAAAGTCTTTCAGGAGCGAGGTTCTCCTTTCTGCCTTTCTGCCTTTCTGCCTGCCTGCCTGCCTCTTCCTTCCTTCCTTCCTTCCTTCCTTCCTTCCTTCCTTCCTTCCTTCCTTCCTTCCTTCCTTCCTCCCTCCCTCCCTCCCTTCCTTCCTTCCTCCCTCCCTCCCTTGTGTGAGCACCAGCTTTCCACCTGCCGTGACTCTGGTTAGAGGTAGAGATATAACTGGAAGCAGAGGCAGGGGCCCCAGCCTTGGTGAAGAAGTGAAAGTCCAGGTGGGGGGATAAACTTGGAACAGTCACCCAGAAATACAAGCGGCATCATGTCTGGAGGGTGGAGAGAAGGCGGGTGATGGACTAGGGCGCGCCCCGTCGGCCCTCTCAGCACCAGTGGCCTGGGATCACCCTCCGCGTCCCAGTTTGTGTGATTTGTGGAGCAGAACCATCTGACCCCCACAGAGGCTTCCGTAAATACGATTCCCCTTTTGAGATTTAGTACACGTCCAGTTCAGACGGAATCTGGGCGGCTGAATCTGACGTGGGGCCTGGTTACCCATCTGTGGGTCTGGGTTCCCAGAAGAGCCCTGCACAGGATGCAGAGGCCCCCGCGGGCCGGACACATGCAGTCAGGCCGCCCGGCCTACCCGGCCCCTCCCTGTGTCCCTCAGTCTCTGCAGCTCCGTTTGCCCCCAGCCTGGTCCTGGAGGGTAACTGCAGGCTTCTGTCTTTTCAGTGTTATGATGGTGGTTTCTGTGTTTGGCATTAGATTATTTTCGAAAGTCCTGGCCATCGGTTCAGAGTAGGGCCTGGATATGTGAAGGAATCTTTTTTTTGAAATGTCTTCCTCTCTCTACAAAGGAACGGGGTCTGAGTGGCAGAAGCCCCCGCGGTGAGCCTGTCCTCCGGGGCGGCTCAGTCCAGCCTCCAGCAGGTGGAGGAGGGGGGTGGGGTGGGGCTTTTCCACCTAGATGTCCGGAGGTAGCCTAAAACACTTACAGCTCAACAGCGGAAGTAAATGCCACCCTCAGGAGACCACGCCAGGCTTAAAGGGAGTAAGAGGCCGTTTGTGTGGTGGAAGTGCCCCTTGGAGGGTGACGTGCGCCACCTTGCGGGGAGGGAAGTGCGCTCTGTGCTCTGTCCCGGCGTCTTCGTGAGGGAGCCGCCGCGATTTTACCTTCCTGTGGTTGGGTTTTGGAAACTGTGGACTTCAGTCGCTCTTTGAACACTTTTCGGTTTGTCACCTCACATCCAGTGTCTGCGTGTGTCACTTGTTTTGCCACCAGTGACGGTGTGTCAGGGACAAGGGGGAGCAGAGTGACTTGTGTCCCGGGTGGCTGGCCTGTTCAGCCCGAGGGTGGGGGGAGTCAGGTGTTTGTCTGTCATCTTACAGAAGAGAGCCAACAGACTCCCTGAGTTTGGGGGTATATTTTATAATTAATGGTGGTGTCGGACTTGTATGTGATATTTCAAAGATCTTTGATACCTAAAGACAAGTGGTTCGCCTTTATTCAGAATGGGGAATAGAGCTGGGTGATGGTACAGAAAAGCTGCTTCAGTTTCCCTTCTCTGAGCTACTTTATGCCCTTTTTCTCTCCCTCTCCCCCTCCCCCTCCCTCTTCTAGAATGAGGTGATGTAGGTTTATGTGGATTGTAAGCAGTATTGTTTTGTAAGTGGGCTGTTCTCTTATGCCTCCCAACGTCAGTTGGATGCAGAATTTAGTATTCTTGCACATACATTCTCAAATTGCAGTCCTTTGTAAGATCCTCATTCAAGACAGCCTGTTACACGTGTTAAGGCACACTCCACTCTAAAGGTATAATTTCTTAAGCTTCTATTCATAGCATGGTTGGAAAACCTACATGCACAATTTTGCTCTGACATGATTGTTAGACCAAGTTCATATCCATACAAACCAAGAAGTAGATAAACTGCTTAATCCCCCCCACCCAAACTGCCGGTTTTTGTCACTGTGGTCTGTCAGGGATAGCTTAGTAATCTCACGCGGGAGACCTTTTGTTCTAGACTAGATCTGCCTTATTCGCATGA